TCTCCTTAACTCATCTTTGAGTCTTTGTAACCCTTCTGGGAATTGGTTATATATAGTCTACCTGGGGAACTCCCCTAGGCTGGTAAAATTGTCAGGTAAATATGGAGAAATTGGTGACAGGCTTTCTTAGTTGAAATTTAAACTTTCAAACTAGCAGCACCATGTGTGTGTAATTGCCAAAAATTTGTGGGAGTATTAGGAAATGAGACTAATTGCAACATTTTACAGTATCCCAGGTGTGTCCACGTTGTCATAAATGTGACTTTATCTTACTGAGGTGCCAGTGCTCTGCAGCATGTTCAGCAAGGCCCATGACAAAGCAGCTAGACCACCTGTGTAACATACGCAGCTCTTTTTCAAAACCCCGTAGACCAACGTAAGACAGAGCAGGGAGGCAGAGCACAGGACACAGAGGAAGGTGGAATCGAACAGGGAAGATACCCTGAGACCTGGGAAGGAGCCCACCCCCAAGTCTTAATTCCAATGTTTAAGGCTTTAAAAAGCTACCTTCCGCTTTGGGGTCCAGTTGTCCAGGTAAAATCTAGAAATGAAAAGTACCTTGGGAAAGAGAACTCACAATCGACAGCCAATGATATGCTAGGTACTTAGAAGTGTATTATTTTGTTCATTCCTCATGATCACTAGTTACTAAATGACAGAGCTGGGGCTTGAACCTGGGCCTGACTGACTTCTGGAGCTGAGACTGCACACTGTATTCCCACTTTCTGCTGTCAAGGAGGAGACCTCAGTGGGGAGGATGGCTGGGGACTGTGCAAGCTTGGAAATGCTCTGCACTCTTGGGGTGGTGGACACACAGCACAATATACAGAGGGTGTATAATAGAATTGTACACCTGAAATCTAATTGTATTATCCAGCGTCACCCCAATAAATTCAATTAAAAGGGAAAAGAAAATGCTCTGGACCGAGTGGGTACAACGCCGTTGTCTGTACCGCAAATGACCCAACTGGTCCAGAAGAAAGGCTGCCTTTGGTTTATCTGTGCAGATGCATTTTATTTTCCCTGCCACGCTGGTCAGCAGTTACATGGCATTTAGCTAGTATCAGCATCTCTCTGGGTAGACGGTGACGTCAGCCTCTGCACGCACCCCACGCTGGTCAGCAGTTACATGGCATTTAGCTAGTATTAGCATCTCTGGGTAGACGGTGACGTCAGCCTCTGCACGCACTGTTTAGTGACACAGATTTTCTCCAGGGGATTATAGTGAATCCCATGCTCACTGACAACTGCACTATCTACAGTGCTTACTTACACAAAAGGTAACAGCACGATTTTAGAAGAGAAAAATCAAACCAGGTGGCTACCTTTCAGCTGTGCTTGGTAGGTAGTGAGAGAAAAATGTGTTTGATTTTAGACCACAATTTGAGAGGCAGAGAGAACTCAAAGAAAAGCACAAATATGGATGATTTGGAAAAACTTACTTGGAAAAGCACGTTATTGGAATAATGAAGTAATCTTTTAAGCTTCTTTAAAAGTTTGATTTTGGAGAAACATTGATTTGTTGTTCCACTTATTGATGCATTCATTGGTTGATTTCTGTATGTGCCTGGACCAGGGACTGAACCCACAACCTTGGTGTATTGGGATGACACTCGAACCAACTGAGCTACCTGTCCAGGGCCTTCTAAGCTTTTTTTGTTTTTTAATGGTTAAGATACTTCATACAAAATAGATAATTTTTGTCCTGTCTGATGAAGCAAGACAAAGAAACAGTTTTCTTTTCTAAATTAAATCAGCAATTCCCAAACTGATGCCCAAAGGAACAATGTTTCATGAGATAAAACAAATGACTTAAATTTTTTTACAGATAATAGTTTGAGGAATGATATACATCCTCCTAAGAACTCCGGGTGGTGGTAGGGGATCCAAACCCATTTGTCTTTTTTTTTAAATCCTCACCTGAGAATATTCTTTTTTTAATTTTTAATATATTTTAATCCTGAGGATATTTTTTCATTGATACTTAGAGAGTGAAAGACAGAGAGAAACCTCGATGTAAGAGAAACACATCGATTGGTTGCCTCCTGCATGCACCCTGACCTGGGCCTGGGCGGAGCCTGCAACTGAGGTACATGCCCTTGACCGGAATTGAATCTGGGATCCTTCAGTCCGCAGGCCGATGCTCTACCCACTGAGCAAAACTGGCTATGGCTGAGGATATTCTTTCCATTGACTTTTAAAGAAAGTGGGAGGGAGAGAGGGGGAGACACACACACATCAATTTAAGAGAAACATGTGCTTCCCACATGGGCCCCGACTGGGGGCCAGGGATCAAACCTGCAACCCAGGTATCACACCTGAGACCCTTTGGTGTGAGGCCAATTGAGCAACACCAGCCAGGGAAAACCACCCCCCCTCCCCCCGCTTTTTTTTAAAAAATAAATATGAACTTTTCTATTTCCAGAAAGTGGTCTATGGGGGAAAAAACAGCTTGGGAAATGCTGAAATTTCTGACTATAAGTTTGGATAAATGTATCTGTTTGGATAGTTCACTCATGTGGTCTCTTAGTTTTATATCCTAGTACTGTACTCTGATGTCCAGTGATACTATGTAACCAAATTGATAGACAAAAAGGTGCATAATCTTTACTTTCTGGCCCACTCATTTTTCAGAGGAGGCATCCAAACCTAAGAGGCCCAGATGCTGAGCTGACTGAGTGTAAATCTCTAAGAAGGTGAGCCAGCTCTAATAGCTTCATCACGCACAAACAAGGGAGCTAGAATGGGCGCAACTCAACTTGTTTCTAGTGCTAACATCCCATGACTTCTTGTTTAGAAATTAATCTGTGTGGAGAGGCAAACTGCTTATTTCCATAGAAAAGCGACAGGATCCGGAATGACTGCACATCTGGAGCTGCCCCTCAGCACAAAGGAACCAGAAACCACGCCTCCCGTTCTTAAATAACATTTATTGTTGTTGCAAAGAAGTCTTTCATGAGAACAGGTCTCACATTTATGTAGAGATATACTGGTTATGATTATAGAAGCAAATTCCATGAGGTGCTATATACGAAGGATGCCCAACTATGACTCTTAATTCAGCAATCTAATATTCACAATGTGTTGACTGCCATTTCCTTATTTACCCAAACATGCCTGTTTTTTTTGTTTTTTTTTAAACATGTGCCTGCACAGGGTGGAGGGGAGAAAACAAACACAAAAAACGCCAAGGGCTTGCTAAAAAGAAGGAGGCTAGAAAAGATAAAATGATTCCCGCAGCAGTTCTGCTCAACGGCAGTCTGTGAGTGCAGGAACCGTGTTCACGTGGGGAAGCAGCACGCCCAGTGGTTTCTCGGGTTTAACGGTGGGAAAGCCCTTGAGGTTTTGTGTGGCTGTCAGGAGGGCGCGGGCAGTTCCGTTACGGAATCCAGTCGATGTTCAGGCACCGCGCTATAAATGCAAACATATCTGAGACTTCTTCTATCACTTTGGCTGTGGGCTTCCCGGCCCCGTGGCCCGCCTTCGTGTCCACGTGGATAAGCAGGGGGTTGCTTTGCTTCCGGCTGCGGCCCACGATGTACTGGAGGGTGGCAATGAACTTCAGGGAGTGAAGCGGGACCACACGGTCATCGTGGTCGGCGGTGAGGAGAAGCATGGACGGGTACTGGATTCCGTCAGCCTCTGGTAACTTCACGTTATGTAACGGAGAATACCTGAAAGGCAAAGGCACTTTCATGATCTAAATAGCAAAAGCGGAGCTGTTTGTTCACTAGGACAATCAAGGAGGGCAGGGTGACCTAGTGGTTTACCAGCCTAACACCATTAGCCACAGGCCCGCAGCTACTCTATGGCAATGACTGCAGGCTGCTTGCACCACGATTTCGGCCTTCACTGGCCAGGGCCACTGGAGATTGGGAAGAGCTCTGTCATTTATTTGGCTCCTACTTTGGAGGACTGAATAAGAAACGAAACTCACGGGGCTGTTGAAATAATCACACCTATGTGCACACTGATCGTCAGGAATTGAGTATTTTCAGATTCTTATTTTTTTCATTAGTACTGACTGGACTGATTGTCTTTGTTTTTATTTAAAACCCTCCCGAGGACATGTTTTTCTTGATTTTTAGAGGGAGAGAAATATTGACCAGTTGCCTCCTGTACGCACCCCGACCGGGAATTACTGACCTGCAACGTCTGGTGTACTGGATGATGCTCAACCACTGAGCCGCCCAGCCAGGGACCAACTGTCTTTTTATATCACTGACTGTGGATATAATAGGTGCAAGCCTTTCTTTTGTTGAAGAACTTGAAATCCGCTTTCTGCCCTTTAATGTCTGTAAAACCTTTATTACAGGCTCAGCTCGGCAGTCTTGGGAGGATCACACGGCCTACTTTCCTGCCCGTGCACCTGGGCCGGGCTGCTGGCTCCAGCAGAGAAACCGCCTTTGGCCAATAGCAAGAACGTCGGTGAACAAGCAGAGAAGGCACCTTCTGAAGTATAAGGTAAGTTGCCAGTCACGTTAACAAAAAGAGTTTTAGAAGGAAAGCACAGTTGAGTTACAGTGATTCATACTAGTTAAGTGAGGGAAATCTCTGGATATTTTTTCTTTATATTTTATTCAATATGGGTGTCATGTTTTTCTTCTTTTTTTTTTTAATATATTTTATTGACTTTTTACAGAGAGAAAGGAAGAGGGATAGGAAGTTAGAAACATCGATGAGAGAGAAACATCGATCAGCTGCCTCCTGCACACCCCGCACTGGGGATGTGCCTGCAACCAAGGTACATGCCCTTGACCGGAATCGAACCTGGGACCTTTCAGTCCGCAGGCCGATGCTCCATCCACTGAGCCAAACCGGCCAGGGCGGTGTTATGTTTTTCAAAGGGTTCAGCATTAATGAACATAATCAATTATTTTAGTCGAGTTTCATTGCTCCCAGTAGATGCGATGGGGGCAATGGACTGTTTTCTGATCTCATTTCAGAGTGTTTCTGGATTAGCCCCAGCCATCCAGATAATAGTTAGTTCTATAGGGAAACTCTGCCTATTAACATTACAAACCTCCCCCCCTCAAGATTCACATGCCACATTTATATGTTAAAGATTCTAAGAAGTTCTAATCTGTTAAGCTTTATTTATCCAGCTCTCTTTTGGGGGGCCCCATGGTGCTTCCTGGGACACACTCCAGGCCAGGGGTGCAGGGCTTGAGCAGGTCCTTATAGGGCCGGCCCCTTCTGGCTCTAGTGTGTGGGGCTGAGCTCTCTACTCAATGGGAGCAGCCGATAAAGAGGTAAATGCAGGCCGATGAGTGCTAGGCTGGAAAATTCAAATCCAGAGAGAATATAGGTGTGGGCAAAAGTAGGTTTACAGCCATAATACAAAAATCAATAAATAATAATACAAGAGTAAACTGTTTTGCACTACAACCATTAACCTACTTTTGCCCACCCCGTATATCACAGACATCTTAAGAGCAACAATATTTAGAACTTTTTCTCTTTTTTTGCTTTCAAATCCATTTTAGAAATATCAGGTTCCATCAAATATTTTGTTGTCTTCGTTGTCCAATTAACTCAGTATTTTCAGTTGAGTTTAAAATGGGACTTATCCCCCCAAAATGTTTATTTTTTCTAAGTTAATTTGAACGATGGCTTCTTCAAATATCCAACTTTTACCAGTATGTGCCAATGAGGCTATTTGTACACTTAATAACAGCTTTACAAAGTAAAGTCCCCCCAACTCTCTTGCCAAAGAACTAAATTTAGTAATTCATTTTAGCTGAATTTCTAACTGGAGAGACCTAGCCATAAAAAGCCTATAAAATGAAAGAAAAAACTTGATAACTTTATAATTGACCGAGAAGACTGGGACACAGGCTTCTTGTTATTCCAAGGGCAATTCCTAAATACTGTTGATAATCCCTGACCCCCTACATGTGGGAAGTAAAGAGAGTGAAGAGGCAAAAAAGAATGTAGTTCTCAGTCCTGAGAATCTATCTGCCATGGTCTCGCTATTGCCAAAGTGGTGGAGGGACATGAAAGGGAAGCTGCACAGTACTTCCATACACAGCCTGTAGTTTCAAACACTCGTGGTTATACTTGAGAGCACAAGGTAAGTTTAACTGTATTTGCACATATTCCTCTCTATTTTCTTATTTCTTAATTTAAAAAAGGAAATCCCATACACATTGATGTAAAAAAAGTGGTTTTTGAGGGATGTACCACAAATTTAGTAGCTTTTTAAAACAACCCTGATTTTTTATCTCACAATTCTGTACGTCAGAAGTCCGGATTGGCTCATCTGGGTTCTCTGCTCTAGATCTCTCCAGACTAAAATCAAGGCGTCACCTGGCTGGGCTGAAATTCTGGAAAAAATTCTATTTCCAGACTCATGTAGGTTGCTGGCAGAACCCAGTTCCATGAGGCTAGAGGACTGAGGTTCTAGAGGCCCCTCCTCTCATCTTCAAAGCCAGCCCTGGAGGGTCAAGTCCTCCTCATGCTCTGTGACCTCCCTTTCCCCTGCATCCCTGACTCCAGCAGAGAGTGCTCTGCCTTTAAGGGTATGTCCCTGTAGACTGGGCCCACTTGGACAATCCAGGATAATCTTAGTTTAATGTCAGATGATTAGTAGCCTTAATTTAATCTGCAAAGTCCCTTCACAGCAGTGCCTGGATTACTGGATTAGTGTGTAAGAGAAAGAGACGGATATCTTGGGGGGGGGGGGGGGGGGGCGATTAGGGGGGGGGGGGGGCACATTTAGATTCTGCCTTTCATTCCTCTGTAGTTTGTTTTTGTTAAAGACAAGATCAAAATAAGGAAGACAGGTATTCCCATCACTTCTCTTACTTTTGCAGTAAATTATATGCAAATATGAAACATGGAGGAGAGTAAGGAGTTAAAGACCATACTAGTAAGTCTGAACAGTCAGTCAAAAGGATATCAAATCGCTGGCAACATATACATCAATATGAATTAAAACCTTACTTGATAAGCCATTCAAAATGGTGTTTGCTGTCTGAGCACCCATAATCAGTGGTCCAGGCATGGCCGATGGTGTATTTATGGAATTTCAGCATGTCCATTACTCCAACTTGGGCGATAACACAACCAAAGAGGTCAGGCCGCTGATTTGCACAAGCAGCTAAAAACCGAGACAAAGAAAAGGGAGGCAGTCTATTATTAAACAGCTAAATAAACCAGAGCAAAAGAACACGTTGGTGCTTTCAGAACCTTGGCTGCCTTTTTTCTTAGAGCACAGAAAGAAACCATCATAAATCACCTGCCTAATGGCCCACAAGCTTTCCCCTTCCTTCCAGTATATCCGAGGTGGGATAGTCTCATCAGCAATAGAGATTTACTCACCAAAGTAAATTTCAAGGGGGGGAGGGTTATTTGAAAAACCTGTGTCCTCTCCTCCCTACTTGCTTTCACAGGTGAGGGAGGTTAAGAAACCTAATCAGGATTTTAAAAAGATTCCCAGGTGATTCTAATGTGCAGCCAAGGCTGAGAAACACTGATCTAGAAGGACATCCGGAAGGTTGTTCAGCTGTCTGGTCTAATTAGCATATTATGCTTTTGTTATTATAGACTAGAGGCTCAGTTCATGAAATTCCTGCATGGATGCGGGGAGGAGTCCCTCAGCACGGCCTGCACCTTCTCCAATCTGGGACCTCTTGAGAGATGTCTGACTGCCGGTTTAGGAGGGATCAGGCCTAAACCGGCAGTCGGATATCCCCCGAGGGGTCCCAGATTGGAGAGGGTACAGGCTGGGCTAAGGGGCCCCACCCCCCGCACGAATTTTGTGCACTGGGCCTCAGGTATAATAAAAGCCTAATATGCTAAAGGTTCAACTGTTCATTGGAGGGTTATTTGAAAAACCTGTGTCCTCTCCTCCCTACTTGCTTTCACAGGTGAGGGAGGTTAAGAAACCTGTTGGGGAGGGGTCTCAAAACAAGCCTGTGATATTGCAATCCTATCTATACTAATAAAAGGGTAATATACTAATTAGATCAGACATCTTCTGGACAAAGCCATGGTGGCAGGAGCCAAGGCAGAGGTGGTTAAGGATGATCAGGCCAGCTGGGGCGGGCAGTTAGGGGGCAATCAGGCAGGCAGGCAGGCGAGCGGTTAGGAACAAGCGGTCCCGGATTACGAGAGAGATGTCTGACTGCCGGTTTAGGAGGGATCAGGCCTAAACCGGCAGTCGGATATCCCCCGAGGGGTCCCAGATTGGAGAGGGTACAGGCTGGGCTAAGGGGCCCCACCCCCCGCACGAATTTTGTGCACTGGGCCTCAGGTATAATAAAAGCCTAATATGCTAAAGGTTCAACTGTTCATTTGACCGGTTGCTATGACGCACACTGACCACCAGGGTGCAGACGCTCTGACAGGTAGGTTAGCTTGCTGCTGGGGTCTGGCTGATCGGGTCTGGGCGAGACAGGTGGGACACACTCTAGAGCCCTCCTGCGGATGGTCCCTCTCCGGCCTCCACCATGCACCGGTGGGGTCCCTTGGCCTGGCCTGCGCCTCTCACAATCCGGGACCCCTCAGGGGATGTCCACAGGCCAGGTTGAGGGACCCCACCGGTGCACGGCAGTCGGATATCCCCTGAGGGGTCCCAGATTGGAGAGGGTACAGCCTGGGCTAAGGGACCCCCCCCCCCGCCCCCCGCACGAATTTTGTGCACTGGGCCTCAGGTATGATAAAAGCCTAATATGCTAAATGTTCAACCGTTCATTTGACCAGTTGCTATGACGCACACTGACCACCAGGGCGCAGACACTCCAACAGGTAGGTTAGCTTGCTGCTGGGGTCCGGCTGATTGGGACTGGGTGAGACAGGTGGGACACACTCTAGAGCCCTCCTTCGGATGGTCCCTCCCCGGCCTCCACCATGCACCGGTGGGGTCCCTTGGCCTGGCCTGCACCTCTCACAATCCGGGACCCCTCAGGGGATGTCCACAGGCCAGGTTGAGGGACCCCACCGGTGCACGAATCCATGCACCAGGCCTCTAGTGTAATAATATACATTTTAGTTCTTGTTCCTGGCACAGAACTCAGTGTCTCGTCATTCAAATCCAGCCCCTTTCAACAGTGCCTGAGTTTATGCTAATGGGTGGCTCTTAGTGGGCTCTAGATGGCTTCAGGATTGGGACCAGCTGCTAGAGGAATCAATCATGTGCTTGGAAGGTCGGAACTGTCATCTCTCCCTCAAAACTTCTGGCTTCTGAGGAGGGAGAGGGGCTAGAGCTTGACTCAGTCACTGATGGCTAATCATCTAATCACTTGTGCCTATATACTAGAACCTCCATAAAACCCCTGAAACAAGAGTTCAGACAGCTTCCAGGTCAGGGAACATACTCAGGAGCTGGAAGGGTGGTGTGCTCAGAGAGGGCATGGAAGTGCCACACCCACGCCTCCTTATACCTTACTCCAATTGGCTCTTCCATCTGACTGTTCCTGGGTTCCGTCCTTTAGAACAAACTGGTAAATGTAAGAAAAGAGTTTGAACCTGAGGAGGGGGTCCTGGGAGGCCCAGGACTGGTGACTGACATCTTGGGAGCAGTCTTGTGGGTCTGAGCCCTTACTTTGTGGGGTCCGTGCTAACTTTAAGTAGTGTCAGAACTGAAGTGATTTGGAGGATACCTGGTTGGTGCAGAAAAGTGTTGTGAGTAGAAACAGTTTGTACAGCCCAAGGCAGAATAGGCCTAAAACCCAGCTCAGGGCTCTGTCCTGTTTTAAAAAGATTCTTCTTTGTATTTATTGAACATCTGCCATGTGCCTGGCACTAGGCCTGGGGATAGGTGGGAAAGATAAAAAACCGAGGAAGCAACGACAGTGTTCAAAAAATTCAGGTGGGGTGTAGAGGTACCTAACCAGGTGTAAGGTGGTTAGGAAGGAAGTCACATCACAGCTGGCAAAAACATCGTGCCCACCCCAATTATGATTTCAGGGCTTATTCCTCATACTGAATCCTGAGTCCTACCCTTAGAGATCCCTGTCCTCCCCCTCAGAGGCGGGAGGGACAGGAAACTGTCCTCTAAATAGCACTTAGCATCCAGATGGGGGACTCCATCTCTGCAGGTTCCTTAAGGGACCAGGTGTGTCAACAGACACAAACTAATGCCTAAATATAAAGGGGTTACTGGGCGAACCAGTAAATTACAAAGCAATTCTCTCACGACTGGAAGCAGATGGCATTTTCAATAGCTTCTCCTATTAAATCTTAAATTTGCCCTTAATTGTTCTCTCTCTTACACCTGACCTGTAATCCACATACAAATTCAGTTGTCTCCAATTCAAAATATTCCCAGAACCTGACCACTTCCCAGGCCTTCCATCACACCCTCGCTGGTTTGGCTTAGTGGACAGAGCGCTGGCCTGTGGACTGAAGGCCTTCCATCACTACACCCCAGGGCCAGGCCACACTGTTCCTTCCTGGACAGAAGTCTCCAACCTGGCCTGCATTTTTGCCCTTGACTCTCCTTCCATCTGCACTAACACTGTAATAGGATCAATGCATGGTCCTATGGAAAAAAATAAGTCAAATTATGATACTTCTCTCAAAACTCCCACAAAGGCTTATTTCACAGTAAACCAGGTCCTCTAGCCTGGCTCTGAGGTCCTGCCACGGCTTACTTCCCCCTTGCTCACCGTGCCCAGCCACAGACGTGGGTCTCCTCCTGGCTACTAGACCCCTCCCAGCCCGTGCTGGGCTCAGGGCCTCAGGTGCACTGCCTGCTCCTAGGATGAGAATGAAAGCTCCAGGAAGGCAGAGGTGCTGTCTGTGTTGTTCCTAAGATTGTTATCAATACACTTTCTAAACTTAAAATGGAACATCATTTTGGACATAAGAGATTTTACCTCCAAAGGAAATTCCCCCTCGCAACACTATATTCTATTGAGGTAAAGAATCAGGCCTCCCCCTCAGAGGCGGGAGGGACAGGAAACTGTCCTTTAAATAGCACTTAGCATCCAGATGGGGGGGGACTCCATCTCTGCAGGTTCCTTAAAGGACCAGGTGTGTCAACAGACACAAACTAATGCCTAAATATAAAGGGGTTACTGGGCGAACCAATAAATCACAAAGCAATTCTCCCACGACTGGAAGCAGATGGCATTTTCAATAGCTTCTCCTATTAAATCTTAAATTTGCCCTTAATTCTTCTCTCTCTTACACCTGACCTGTAATCCACATACAAATTCAGTTGTCTCCAATTCAAAATATTCCCAGAACCTGACCACTTCCCAGACCTTCCATCACACCCTCGCTGGTTTGGCTTGGTGGACAGAGCGCTGGCCTGTGGACTGAAGGACTTCCATCACTACACCCCAGGGCCAGGCAACACTGTTCCTGGACAGAAGTCTCCAACCTGGCCTGCTTTTTTGCCCTTGATTCTCCTTCCATCTGCACTAACACTGTAATAGGATCAATGCATGATCCTATGGAAAAAAATAAGTCAAATTATGATACTTCTCTCAAAACTCCCACAAAGGCTTATTTCACAGTAAACCAGGTCCTCTAGCCTGGCTCTGCGGTCCTGCCACGGCTTACTTCCCCCTTGCTCACCGTGCCCAGCCACAGACGTGGGTCTCCTCCCGGCTGCTAGACCCCTCCCAGCCCGTGCTGGGCTCAGGGCCTCAGGTGCACTGCCTGCTCCTAGGACGAGAATGAAAGCTCCAGGAAGGCAGAGGTGCTGTCTGTGTTGTTCCTGAGATTGTTATCAATACACTTTCTAAACTTAAAATGGAACATCATTTTGGACATAAGAGATTTTACCTCCAAAGGAAATTCCCCCCAACACTATATTCTATTGAGGTAAAGAGTCAGAACAGGAACTCAGATTCTGACATGACTCAGTATATTCACAAAACAAGGAAACTGAGTGTATGAGCTGCTACTTGCCGCCCTCCTCCACAGCCGTGGATGGAAAACCTGGAAAATTGTCATGTGTGTTTTAAGTTGAGCTTATATATGCTATTCTACATTTGTATAATGGCCCTTCATGTGCTAATGACATTGGATGTAAGACCCAGCCAGCAAAGTTCAGGTCCACTATAGATTTTCATTACAACTTTCAGTGCTTACTTGCCGCCCTCCTCCACAGCCGTGGATGGAAAACCCCGAAAATTGTCATGTGTGTTTTAAGTTGAGCTTATATATGCTATTCTACATTTGTATAATGGCCCTTCATGTGCTAATGACATTGGATGTAAGAAGACCCAGCCAGCAAAGTTCAGGTCCACTACAGATTTTCATTACAACTTTCAGTGCGACTGAGAAAAATGCAAACTCAAATTTCATTAACTACCAAAAATTAGGTACTTAGAAGCAGTGCCACAAAATGATTTAAAAGAGCAGAATCTAAAACCACAGTGCTAGCCCCAGCCTCACCACTTCCAACCGTGACACGCTGGGCAAGCTACTCAACCTCTCGGTGCCCCGGTGTGTCCTACGTAAGATGGGGCATTGCCAGTCCCCATCTCCCAGGCTGCGTGCACATCAAGGTCTCAGACTGGGCCTGGCACACGAGGTACTCACTCCTTTGGGAAAAACTTCTGTGACTATTTCATTACCCTTATGCTGTAGATCCATCTTTATACGTACCTCATTTCCCTCGCGACTTTTCTCTCTGTACTCACAGCATTTAGCATCACCGGGTGTAGTTATTCAACAAATGTTTAGTGATAATCACATCGTGCAAGTCCTGACTAACACAATCAGAGGGGCTATCAGGCTCAGGACTGTTGTGCCTGGACTCTAGAAACCTGTGGCTCCAGTGTGTGGGGAAAGGGGTCCAACCGGTTCGTGTCACCTCTGACACGCGTGTCATAGGTTCGCCATCACTGGGCTATGGCAAGGTGCCTGGGAGGGCTGAGCCTTTCTAAGCTGGTCTTAGATCGCTTCTTACAGAACCCACCCAATACCAGAGGGAGCGGAAATGATGAACCGGAAACCTACCCCAAAGCCAGGTAAGTGAAGTTCAAGTAGTAAACTGTTTTCACTTGGGCCACAGTAGCTCAACCGCTGAGGTTAAAGGGCCTCTGAGACCCATAAAGGTCTGGTTTCCTGTGACTCTCAGTGACGTTTCTTGCTGAGCTGGCTTCTTCACCGGCCAGCAGCACTTGCCCAAGGGCAGCCCCCACTCTAAGGGTCTAGTCTGTTGCAGGCCAGCAAGCCCTCTCGACCAGTGGTTCTCAACCTTCCTAATGCCTCGACCCTTTAATACAGTTCCTCATTTTGTGGTGACCCCCAACCATAAAATTATTTTTGTTGCTACTTCATAACTGTAATTTTGCTACTGTTATGAATCGTAATGTAAATATCTGATATGCAGGATGTATTTTCATTGTTACAAATTGAACATAATTAAAGCATAGTGATTAATCAGAAAAACAATATGTAATTATATATGTGTTTTCCAATGGTCTTAGGCAACCCCTGTGAAAGGGTTGTTCGACCCCCAAAGGGGTCGCGACCCACAGGTTGAGAACCACTGGTATAGGGGCATATGTGGTGATGGAAGGGGACTTGACTTGGGGTGGTGAATACAACACAACATACAGATAATGTATTGTAGAACTGTACCCCTGAAACCTATATAATTTTATTAACCAATTAAAAAGGTAAAAAAACCTCAACAACACAAAGTTATTTTTAACCCTTTTCGGTCCAACGTCGAGGCTGAGGCTGACACCGCCGGTTCACCATTCTATCCCGTCAATTAATTTGGACCAGACTATTTGAATTCCAAAAATAAAATTGGACCGCAAAGGGTTAAAGGGGGAGTGGTACCTGCAATATGTTTGAAAATATCCTTACTTTTCATTTGTTTAGTGAAATGCTCCTTCTGCTCATTCAAACACAGCTCTGACTATGCCCTATTTGCATTTCTGTGGAGAAAAGACCTCACCTTTATGCCACGTCTCTCCGTATTCACCGCCTCCTCGGATGTTGGCCACTGCGAGGATGCCACCCATGTGTCTCACAAAGATAAGCCTGGACACACTGAGAAACAATAAAAATAGTGAACCTTCCATTAACCGCCAAGTAAGGACCACATTATTTCCCTCCATTTCAAAAAAAAGAAAATGTATCCCCCAAAACACTATGTGTGATGTCCTCTAAATTGGAGCCCAACATTTTTATATTACCTGATTAAAGCAAAACATATAACTTCTGGTTAATGTTTAACTGCAAAGTTCATACATGCTCATGAGCATTCAGAAGACCTCATTGTACTATATTGGCAAATATTTCACCATACAAGGTGGGAATACAAAATTCATAATGCGGACAGAGAAAAACAGAGGCCCTCATTTCATAATGAACATCTTTTAACATCTATCTTGGCAAACAAGATACTGCCAGCCAGGTGACACAGGCCTGGTGTGAACGGTGCTGGGCTCGTAGGAACACCAGTAACGGCCCCTGCTCTGCTACCTTTATTTTTTTCCAGTCTCTCTCTTCACATTGTTCAAATTGGAAAAAAGGGAGCTCTTTCTGAAGCATGGATTTTAAATAGTTTTACAGAAGCTCAGATAACTAGACAACATACATTAGGAGAGGTGGTGGAGGTAAAGGACACAGACCAGAACGTAAGAATGGAGAGCTCATGGCAGGAGGATGTTTTCTAGAAATAAACAGAAGAAACTACAGCACCAAGTTTCTAGGGAAAAGAATTAAGTCCTTTGGAAAATTTGGATTTCACGTTTTTCTCCTCCTCTTTCCACTCTGGTCCTAAAAATGCTGAGTGACATTTCTTTTTCTAGCTGCAGTTAGTTTAAATTAAATTTTAACTATTTGGGAACTATTTTGAGAAGTTTATCCTTCTTCCTTACAGTAACTGGGGAAACCATGGGCTTCTGCAACCTGCAGCTCATTTCCTGGATCTCGGGGATGAAGAGGAAAGGACAGCCGGGGTAGGTGATGAGAGCGTGCCATCATGCTAGACTGTCCAAATGGATCTTCAATTGCTTGGTCTTTTTCTTTGATATTGTTCATGCACCTCTGATGGTCTCCACTGAAACCATCAGCACATCCACCGGGTTCTGGGCTGAAAGTGGCTAGGGGCTCTTCTTTATTCATCTCCTGATTCTCAACACAGCAGGCTTCATAAATACTTGTTGCACAAATGACCAAAGACAAATGATGTTAACTTCAGATCCACTCAGGGACCAGTGTTGTCTGGCTCCTTGCCACCCTGTGGAGGCCAAGGATATGGGGCTCAAGGTACGAGCCTCTGCCTTGTCCATTAGATGAAGCACATGTTCACTGGCCTACACTCAGGTCTCACTGCAACTGGAAACTGAAGCTTGCATTTCATCACTCTGGGTGGGAAGAGGGGCAAACAATGACATACTGTATATTCTGTTGTAAGGATTAGGTGAACAGCTATTGCTCTGCATCCTTAGACTAATAGACACAGGGAATAAATATGGCTTCTGGTTTTACCACAGACATGGATACTAATGAAACAGCAAATCTCACTGCCTGGGAAACTCTGCTAAGAGATAGGAAGCCTGTCTGTGGGCTCAGGCCTTGCCTAGCATGGTGCTTGGTATAGAGAAAGCAACCTAGAATGTAGAATGGTGATGTCATTGTGCAATGAATGAAGAGCAACTCATACAATAATGCCTCACTAATCTTCTGAAAATACTGTTCTACACAATGATTTCACACCTTTTCAGCTACTCACTAACAAAACCAAATTCTTTAGCCAGATGTTCAAGACAGTTCACAATTCGGCTATAAACCATTTCATTAAATCCTAAATAATTAGTAGAATGCACTACTGATACCAAGTACTTGAAATAAAGTAAGATTTAAATTTGGAATCTACTCTGAATTCATGTCCTAATAGTCACCCTCATTTCTTTCCAAATAAGAAAGATGAATCTGAGAATCAGATTTCATGGTGGGCACTATTTAGAAGTTGGCTTAAAACTGATCTTGCTGGTAGGAGTCACCTTGCTTTTATTAAAAACTAGAGGCCCGGTGCAAGAATTTGTGCACGGGTGGGGTCCCTTGTTGTGGCCTGTGGGGATTGGGCCGAAACCGGCAGTCCAACGCCGCCTGCTGCTCCCGCTCATCCTGGCCCCACTGTGCCTGCCGTGGGCTCGTGTCCAGTCAGTCCTGATCGGGAGAGGCTTGTGCAGCTACAGCGGCGCTCGCCAGCCGTAAGCCCTGTGTCTGGTGCCCGTCCCAAGGGGGATAAGGGTGAGGGGCTGGGATGTGATCAGCCCTCCAGGTGGATGGTGGGATGCCCTTGCTAGCCTGGGATCCATCCCACTGACGTTTGCGCTGGTTGTCAGGAGCCACATGGCAGCTGCTTTTATATTGTTTCTTCCTTGCGGAGTGTCTAGGGAGGGGAAGCGGTCACAGTGCCTAAGGCTGACTTCCAAGAGGCGGGCGGCGCTGTTGGGATCATGCCAGCAGTGCCGATCCATCGGTGGTTGGCCTGTTCTCCGGAGATTGGACCTGCAGGACTAATGAGCGAGTGAGTGGCTGCTGCCGGGCTGGGTTGGTGGGCTGCCGGGCTGGGTTGGTAAGCTGAGTGGCACTCCCACTGTGGGAGTGCACTGACCACAAGGGGGCAGCTCCTGCGTTGAGCGTCTGCCCTCTGGTGGTCAGTGCGTGTCACAGCGACTGGTTGACCGTGTCATTCAGTTGTGCTGGTTGTTCGGTAGCTTAGGCTTTTATATATAGAGATGCTCACAGCAAATTCCATTTTATACTGTGAATGTGATAGTAAAATCAGGTTTGCAAAGAACTGGCAGGAGACATTTATATAAACAATAGCAAATGCTTAAATTTAGATTTTTTTTCCTGCCTGAACATAAAGACTGGGACATAATCACAGAAACGGTGTAGGACAGTTTAAAATGGATCAAATAACAGAGTACACAGAAAATATATTTATGGCTGAATGTTAAGATAGTCTATTTTAAGACTTGGCTGCTGAAAAAATATCATCAGAAGCTGCAAAATCCTTCCTTGTGAAGAGAATACTGAGGGCAAATGCTAAACACGGAAGGTAGGCGCTTCCTTTGTTCAAAACTCCATGGATACTAACCTTCCGTACTCTGGCAGCTATAGTTTCAGCATTTAGTTCCCAAATAACCTGTTCCACTAAAGACATCAGCTTGTAATGATCCTGGAATTCCTGACCAAAAATGCATGTAGTTAACGCAATCTTATCCCTTCATGAAAATGACAAGCCAAGAAATGTATGGTTAACTATATGAGAAAAAAGCATGATTTAACAGACGAGGCTCTGGTTTCCTTCCACTGGATGGAGGGGATCATGGTCCATGCTTACCTGTAGTTGGGTGTGATCGAGATGTTGAAGCCGCCGTAGCCATATAAGAAGGCAGGATGAGAGCCGTCCAATTTTATGCCTTTTTTATGCACGATGAACATTGGAATCTTGGTACCATCCTTGCTAGGGTAGAAAATCTAGAACACAAGAGAGCAGAATGGTGAGAGTTAGCACCACCTCGTCAACACCTGCATGCTTTTCCATGGGAAACACACACAGGCAATAGTTCTCTCTTCCAGATGTGGAGCAGCACAGTGGAAATCAGCAGGGTCTCTGACGGTGGAGCAGCTTTCGGCTTGTGTGGCAGTAGATAGTGTGGAGGAGTGGAAAGCACAGGTGTCTGAAAGTAGGGAGACTTGAATTTGAATTCTTACTTCACAGCTGTCTAGCTAGGGGACCTTGGACATACTGTTCATCCTCCCTCAGCCTCAGTTCCTCATCCCTAAAATGTGGCCTTCACAAGGTGCACAGAAAACACACATTTGTTTTCCGTTCCCAGCTCTGCAAGAAGTCAGATTTGGCCACCCTGCCAAACAATTCAGTTTAGGGAGATTTATTTTCTAGAAAACAAAGTTCACATTCAACCGCCTTTCTAAATATTAAGATAACTCGACTTGCCTTCATTTTTCTATGTACAACAGTTAAATTAATGTTAGCAACAACAAAACATATTAGCTTAGAAAGTAATGGAGAAACACAGAAATCCTATTACTTCAGGTCAAACAAAGACATTTTTCTCCAGTATTTTTAATTAAGGCTCATAAAACCTTCCTGAATCTAAGCAACCTCAGGCAAGTTCAGTTAAGATTTCTATATTCTTCACTTTTTTGATAAGAGGAGTAAAAGGATAAGAAAGAGAATATTAAATGCTATGTAAACGATAAGCCACAGAATAGCGATAAGCCATCAAAAGCTGATAAGGCCCCTTTTGGACAGAAAATCTATAGATAGCCTTCTCTTTGGGTAAACATGGTTTCTTTACCCCAAAATGACATCTCGAACGTGCCCAGCCTAGAAATGTCTTGCTGACCTCACAAGTTACAGTTCAAGGACAGAAGCCTTTACACTTAGTGTTACTTGCAGCCATATTTTATCCAAAGCTTTTTTAGGTAGCAGTCCTATTGTAGAAAGATGCTACAAAATGCTTGGAAATAAAGGAGGGGGGCGCGGCGGGGGCGGGAATGCAGATTTGGAGAAAGGCATCACAGGCCACAATATGTGCCTACAAGTCTGGCAGGTTTTGAAACCTGCCAATAGTAGTATAAGAAGCATTTGTTTCTGACTTGGATAAAAATAATAAGAAACAGATAAATTTGACAGTTTAGGAATCATGGAGAAGAATACTCCGCAGAGTTCAAAATTATCAGAGGAGCACGGTTTTATTTAAAGTTAATGTAGTGGCAATTAGCAGCCTCTGATAAAGTGTAACTCTGTGGGTGGTACAAGTAAATGCGGAGTAAGAGTGATTCGCAGGGGCTGATGAGCTAAAATTGAGGGCCTTCAACTCAGACTGGGGGAGAATTTGAAGCACTCTAACCACTGCATCACGACTTTATCCAGTGACTTTCATCAATGAAATTGATGATCTGTCTAGCATGCTGACCTTCCGCGGGCTTAAATCCCTCAATGTCAAGACCTTTACTTCCATCCCACTCATTCAAATATTTGCTCAGTCCATTATTTGCCAGGCACGGCACTAAACACTGGAGACAAAGATGAACTTAAAGTCTACAGCAACAAACTCGCACTACAAACACCCATCACCTTAGCTTTACCTTTGCCCTTAGGACTTCAAACTCTTCTGCAAGGAACTCTGGCATCACACCACCCCCCCAAGACTCCAATTTGTTCTTTCACCACCACCTCCTTCCCTTCCTTATTTCTGGGGCATCTTTTTTTCCCCCCAAACTCTTACTATGACATTCAGTTCCTTCTACTCTATCTGGCTGTCAGCTTCCCTGGGCTTTCTTGGGCAGCATGGGATCCTTGGCCAGACCTCTAAGTGTTACTAATGCCGAAAAACCTCTAATTCTAACCTAACCCTCTGGGCTGCTGGGCACTCAGGAAACGCCAACTCGCTTCATTGAAAATTGATAATACTTGAACTCATGGGCTTTGAACTTATGCCTTATGTCTCCCCTGTCCCCCAAATGAATTCCTTATGTTTTGCTTCCTATATCTTTAAAAAATGTCTTCCTTATACCTTTTTTTGTTGTTGTTATTCCTCAATCAATTCCAGAGTAGTTGTTTCCAATATTTCCCATTTTCTTCCATTCCCAACACCACTATTTGTATCCCCCTACTCTGTATCTGCCACCTGCTAGGAGTTCTTACAAAACCTTCTTTCTGCCATCTTCACTCACTGTCTACAACCTCAGAGAAGGATCACTTGGCCTCGATTCCATTCCTTACCAACTCCACCACTACCTCACTCTTCCAATTACCACAACTTCCTTTTTGTATTCTCTTCCTTTCCTTGGCATACAAGCAAACTAAAATTTCTCCTATCCTATATAACAAAAAGACCCCAAACCTTTTGTATTGCCCTGTCTACCCCTCAAGCTAAATTTCCATCTTCCTCTTCCTTCCTGATCAAACATATCCGCAATAACCTACACCCACAACTCATACTGGGTTACCCTGTTTATCCCTTTGTCCCTACCACTGCTCTTTCAAAGGGCATGAATGAAATGTTTTTGTCTCTCTTCTTGTCCCTCCATCCCTACCTCTACCCAGTGGTGTATACCCTTCCCCACCTTTTCATAAGTTTATAGAGACACATCTATGTATAATTATTCACACACAATTATATATGAACTAGAGGCCTGGTGCATGAAATTCATGCGGGGGTGGGGGGGTCCCTCAGCCCCGCCTGAACCCTCTCTCAACCTGGGACCCCTCCGGGGATATCCCTCTCACAATCCAGGACTGCTGGTTCCTAACTGCTCGCCTGCCTGATCACCCCTAACCACTATGTCTGCCGCCTGATCGCCCCTAACCACTTGCCTGCCTGCCTGATTGCTCCTAACCACTCTGTATGCCTGCCTGATCGCCCCTAACCACTCGCCTGCCTGCCTGATCACCCCTAACCGCCTCTGCCTGCCTGCCTCATCACCCCTAACTGCCTCTGCCCCTGCCGTGGCGGCTTTGTCCAGAAGGATGTCCGGAAGGTCATTCGGCTGTCCAGTCTAATTAGCATATTATGCTTTTATTATTATAGATTATTATATCATTTGTTATTATATGACAACACAGAATCAGGCTAATATTGGGCTACAACTTACTCTTCCCACTCCTCACTTATAAGACATCATGGACTTCTTTCCAGTTAAAAGCACCCAGATTTATCCCATTTTAAAAAAAAAATCACTGCCTAGTATTTCATTGTATAAATGTACACAAATTTATTCAAACATTAGTTCACTGACAAGACTATTCTTTTTTTCTGTTATCAACGATAAAATACATCCTTTTAAGATAAATACTATGCACTCATGCTAAGATTTCTGAAGGATATATTCTTTAGACATGAAATTGCTAGATCAAAGTATATGTGCATTTGAAAATTCAATAGATTCTGACAAATACAATGGTGTATCAACTTAAGCTCCTAGTGACAATGATTATCCAAGTGTCCATTTCTCATCAGCAGTGGATGTTAAAATGGATTTTAATTTTTGCTAGTTTAGTAGGCAGTATCACCTCATTATTGCCTTAAGATTCAGTTTTTAAATTAGCAAGCATTTTCATCTATTTATCAGTTATTGTATGTCTTATCCTCAGAATAAAGTATGCCTATCCTTTAAATTATGTTACTGTCCACTTAGTTTATAGAAACTCTTCCTACATTAAAAGTAATAACCTTTTTTCCTGTCATGTTTTGTTTGTATTTCTTTTCAGTCTATAACCTGCCTTTTAACTTTCTTTGTGGTACCTTTTTTCAACCTTCCTAATCAATGCATTACGAGCTTTTCTTCCTCTTGCCAAATGCTGCTGTTTGGCCATTTTCTCTAGCTGGTCTTCTCTTTTATCTCTGTAAATCCCCTGCTGCCATGTCTCAGAGCTCCAATCAACTACTGTGCTATGGACCTTCCTGTCCACATTTGCGGGCCCACGCGAGGGGCTGTGACCTCCCCCTGGTACGTGCTCCTCTTCCACATTCTTTTATTTCACTCTCTCCTCAGCCACCCAACTGACAGCTCCCCAAATCATATTTATGCCAAGGGTCCCCAGGCCCTCATTCAGTCATTTCAGTTCTCACAACCAGGGACCACTTCTCTCTCACTTGGCAGACCTGCTCAGAATCCTCTAATTCATTAGCCTCAAACCAGCTGGTCTCCCTGACTCCTCCTATTTGCTAAAGTGATGGAATAGAACCTCTACTTTTAGTAGCATAAAAAATTATAATGTAATTTATATATATAGACGATCCCTGACTTATGATGATTTTACTTAGTTTCTTGACTATACAATGGTGCAAAAGTGAGACACATTCAGTAGGCACTGTACTTTGAGTTCTGCTCTTTTCCTGGGCTAGCTATGTATGGTATCACACTCTCTTGTGATGTGGGGCAGCAGCAGTCAGCCAGCTCCCGTTCTGCCACAATCACAAGGGTCAACAACTGGGACTCGACAGTGTAGTATTAAGTGCATCTTCAACTTTCGATATTTTCAACTTACCAATGGGTTGGTTTATCAGGATGTAACCCCACTGTAAGTCAAAGAGCATCTGTGTATATAATACAGGAGCCATCAGTGCTGGATAAGTAGACAAAATTAGACAATTGCCAAAGCTTAAATCTATGTGTTATTTTTCCATTTGCAATAGCTCACTGCTACCACAATACTCAGGTTCAAGTTAAAAAGCAAAAACACCTTTTTTTCTCTCTCTTACTTGTAACCAAATGAGACAGCTGACATTACACATACATTCTTCTTGAGTGTCCACTGTAGGCACCGCCCTTTAACTGGATGACGAAGCTTTTACGGGACCCTTAATGGACAGGGAAATAAAGTGCTCACATGGGATCTAACAGGCGCCCACTTGAGTAACAGAAAAAGTCTGTCCATCACACAGGCGCATCACATGGAGCTGGCGGGCCCCGTCCTCCCTTCTTGCTGTCAGCAGCGGAGGGAA